ACGACAGGAGGGAGGACGATGCATTCAGGCGTCCGAGGAGAGAGCAGGACAGAGAAGCTCCCAGACCGCCACCTCGAGCCCAGAGCAGCGGAGAGTGGAGCAGCGACAGCGAGCCCAGGTTCAGGAGAGACGAGGGACGGGGAGATCCAGAGAGGAGGCGCGAGGGGAGAAACGAGAGAGACCGAGGGGAGATGATGGAGGGAGTGTCAGAGCAGAGGAGGATGTGGTTAGAACCGCACAGAGGCAGGAGTGCTAGAGAAACGTCTGCAGACCGAGTGAGGCACACGAGGCGGAAAGAGAGAAGGATGGAGGCAGAAGGGAGGCCGAAAGAGGAACCAGAGGAGGGCAGGTACAGGGGAGGACGGGGGGAGACGCAGGGGGAGAGTCAGGGGGAGACCCAGGGGGTGAGTGTGGACGGAGAGGAGGTAGGGGAGGAGCGTCTGTCTGACAGCGATGGAGGGATGGAGGGAAGCCGAGGGACAGACGACACAGAGGACAGCGACAGGGAGGGAGAGGGTGGCAGCGACTACTGGGCGCGCTCAGAAGGGAGCGAAGGAGGAAGTGATGCGGGCTGGAGGCCGGAAAGAGAGACAATGCTGTCGGGAGAGGACGGCTTCGTCACCGTGTCCAGCGGTGGAGACAGGGAGGACGAGGAGGACGAGGAGTTTCAGGACTGCCAGGAGTTCTGGGACGGTGGACATGGTTCACCCGGTGAGGAGGGGGAGGAGGGGGAGGAGTGGACGGTGGACGAGGACGGACAGAAGTTTGTCTTCTGTGTGATTGGACAGACTCTGCCCCGGTCGAAGGCCGGAGGGGACGAGTCAGAAACTCATCCCGATGACCCAAATGTGACCCGTGATGAGCCAAACGCCTCCCAGGAAGCTGCTTCAGAACCTCAGGAGCCCAGAGTCGTGCTGAGGAGCAAACCAGAGCCTCTGTACGACCAGGTGGGCACCATCAAACGGGACTCTCAGACCGATCGGCTCCTCAAAGAGTGGAGAGAGAGGAACAACGGTCCGGCAGCAGGAGAGGCCGACCAGACCTCTCCTCTCCCCAGTAACCCCTACGCCGAAGTCCCGTCCCATGTGGACTTTCAGCCCCTCCTGGACCAGATCAGCTCCGGAGCCATGAGCCCGGAGGAGGTGGAGGCCATCCGGATCAGGATGAGCGGAGCCTGGAGCATGTCCGAGGAGCCCAAGAGGCACTCCCAGGCGCCTCACCTCAAGTGGGCCAAAAGCGTGGTGCGGGAGATCCTGGGCCGCTCCGAGGAGAAGGGGGTGGACGAACCGAGCGCACCCGAACCCGAGGAGTCCGCAGAGGAGACGCCCGGCGCTCAGCTGACGCCGGAGGAGGACCGGTCCGAGGAGGAGGAGGAAGAGGAGCTGCTGGGGGGACTGAGAGGTACGAGGTCGAGCCGAGCCTTCATGCATGCTGAGCAGCTCCCAGTCATGCATGTCCAAACAGCCACTAACACGCAGCACGACACAGCAGGGCAGTCAGAGGGGAGGACGCAAGGACAGGCAGAGGAGGAGGAGGAGGAGGAGGAGGAGAGCAAGCGGAAGGAGGTGGAGATGTTTTTAGGTGTGAGCAACACGCTGTACAAACCCAGCAGCTGCCCCATTCTTAACTATGAGTCTGCAGAGGAGGAGGAGGAGGAAGGGACGGATGAGGATAAAGGGGAGGAGGAGGTGCAGGAGGAGGAGATGCAGGAAGAGGAGGTGCAGGAGGAGGAGATGCAGGAGGAGGAGGAGGTGCAGGAGGAGGAGATGAAGGAGGAGGGGGTGCAGGAGCAGGTAGAAACAGTGGAGGTGGACAGGAGTAAAGTAGGGACGGTGACGAGCTCCTGCAGCTTCCGGGATCTGGGACCCGAAGCTCGATTACGAAGGAGAGGAATCCGTAAAACCACAGAGAGAAGAAATGGAGAGCTGGTAGAGGTGGAAGAAGAGGAAGGAGTGGGAAGAGATCGCAGAACCAGAATATTCTCTGCAACAGGTAAACCGAGAACAGAGAGAAGTGGAAAATAGAGGAGACATTAAAGCTGATCAGCATTTAGCTGTAAAATCATTTAAAATGATTATAAATGACTCTCTAAGATTTAAGTTTCTTTCCACTTTTAATTAGATTTTTTTTTCATAATTTTGCATTTCTAATCTGTTAAATCAACAACACCACCTAAACTAAGATAGTAATTATACAATTCAACAATCTTTAATTGTAAAAATAAAAAAGTTGGTGAGGATTAAAATAACGGTAAAAAATCTTCAATCCTTCACACGAATGATTTTTCTATGAAATAATGACAAATGTATGGTGGCTAGAAAGTGAAAAAAACAATTTAAAAACAAGTAAAATCAACCAGAAAGGGAACCTACCGAAGTGGTGATGGGCAGCAGCCAATCAGAGCTGCTGTTGTCGTTTATGGAGTTCATGACGGAGGACGCTGTGATGTTCGGGCTGACTTCACTTCCTCCTTCTGGCTTGGACCCACAAATAGAGCTCCTGGATGTCTCCACATTCCCAAAAGCAAGTACATGTTCACACCTGTTGACGTTACCTCTCCTACGCTCATACAGTGGGGACTTTGGAATCCAAAATAATCCAGGATTTGGCTGTTTATAGGCCCCATGACTGGAAGACCAGCAGAGCTTGTTGTCTGTTGTCATAGATATAAGATCTGCTGCAGCACGTCTGCTCCTTCCATCTGGTCTGCACCGTTCATAAGTTCTAAAGACCGACCAAAAACAAAACCTCGTTAATCGGCTGAGGTGTGCCACAAAACGGGCAGAACGTCACTCGGTCCATCTCGGGTCACCATGAACTCCATAAACGACAACAACGGCTCTGATTGGCCGCTGCCCGTCACCACCTCCGGTTCAGTCCCAGAGGCGGTTCGTTCCCTTTACGGTTGATTTTACTTGTCAAAGTGTTTTGCGCTTCCCGGCCACCGTACAAATATCTGCCACATAATGATCCTCCCTCTAGCTTCGGTAAATACAGTAAAATAAAATGTAGATTTTATTTATTTATTTTTTTAATTTCACTTAATTTATAGTTTGAGATTTGTTTTTTGGATTTCTAGTAGTTTTCATTTTTTAATTTAAGAATCTAGCAGTTAAAAAACTGTAAATAATTCAACATATCACAGTTAAAATGTTAATTGTGGCTCCTCCAATCAGATTTCCAATGTTTTCGAAAAGTTTCTCAACGTCAGCGTTTTAATTGTAAAAACGTTGTTGATAAAAACATCGTTCGATTTTTCAATCCTTAATACCAAAATGTAAAAACTGAAATAATTACACTTTTGACTGTAAAATACAGTAAAATATTGTGTTTTTCTCCATAAAATAAACCAACCATACGCACTTATATTGCACAATATAATTAAATTATTATTAAACAGCTGATAATTGTCGATAACTGTTCATGACAGTCTTTTTTCAATACAAACTATTTTTCTTTAAAATCAAGGCTAATATCTGTAAAATACTTCTGTCTGAATTAAATCCAGTTAAAACAGTAAATCAGTGTTATTACTCATAAAAGGCAGATTTTATTAACAGCTGACATGTAGAATAAACCACCTTCTCTGATTTGACCAGTTGATGTTTGTAGTTTGACAAACTAACAGAAAATGATTTAACAAAAACCTTCAGCTTGACTTTTGTTTGTCTCATTTCATCTCCTCGGTGTTGTCATGAATCTCCTCGGCTCCTCCTTTGTCATGACTTCTGTTATTTGAAGGCTTTAGACTTCGTTTAAATGAATCCAACACTGACTTTTACACCAAACTGCTTTCGTGTGTTTGTCTTTGTGCTTTCATCATCTTCCTCTTGTCGTCTCCTCGGTGGCTTTTTTTTTTTTTCTTTTCTTCAATATTTATGTTTTGGTTTCTTAGAATTTTTTCAGAATCTGAGGCAGGCATCGGCCTGAGGCTGTTATCTGATCAGAAAAACTCCACATTAACTAAACTGGAAAGTGCGTCACGGTGATGTGGTTTGTAGGTGGTGGGTGGAGATCAGAGGAGGAGGAGGAAGAGGAGGAGGAAGAGGAAAACCAGCGACGAGCGCTCAAAAGCTCTCAAACGCTGATCCTGTCTTCAGACACATTAGAGGCTTCAGAAACACACTAACCTCCCAACTAACCCCTATTTATTTAATTTATTACTTTTGTTTTTTTTAAAGTTATTTATCAGTAAGTTTTTGCAGTGAAGAGCTATGCTGCTGTATAACGTTTCCAAGAAAGAATATTTTCTGATTCCAGATGATGAGGACGATCGCAGTAAGAGCTGGGGAGAAGTGGAGCTCAGGTGAGAGGACTTTGATTATCATTTTATTTATTATAACCCAATAAAGTGATTTAATGTCACCTGTTAAATCAGAGCTGAACTTTTCTGAAACTTCTCAAAGGATCAGTGCTGCTGTTACTTAAAAATATGAATCAATTGTTTATTTATTTTCACTTTATTCCAAAAATGCTGAATTAAAAAATAGTTTCCTTTTTTTTTTTTTAAAATGCACTTTACATTTTTATTTATATATGTGTGTGTGTTTTTTTTCTTTCTCGGCACTGCAGGAATGTTTTGGACACAATTGAAAAACGAAGAAGGAATTCAAGGTTTTTCAGTGAGTAGCTCTGTTTAATTTAATTTAATTTAATTTAATGTTATGTTATTTTGTGTTATGCTATTTTATTTATTTTGTTATGTTATTTAACGTTATTTTATGTTATTTTATTTCATGTTTAATTTTATTTTGTGTTCTGTTATTCTACATGATTTTATTTAGTTTTATGTTATTTATGTTATGTTTTATTTTATTTTGTGCTGTTTTATTTTATTTTGTTTTGTTATTTAACGTTATTTTATGTTATTTTATTTCATGTTTAATTTTATTTTGTGTTAAGTTATTCTATGTGATTTTATTTTGTTTTATTTTATTTTGTTTTATTTTATTTTATTTTGTTTTATTTTATTTTGTTTTGTTATTTTCTGCTATTTTCTGTTATGTTATTTTATTTTATTGTTGGACCTGACTCCAGCCCCCTTGATGCCAGTCTGATCAGTTTTTGATCCCTGACCTTTCAGCTGGAGCGTTTGCCTCCAGGCTGATCAGCAGAAAGCCCCTGTTGACGTGCTCCAGGTCGTATCTGTCAGGAAACGTGGTGACGCCGCTCAACGTTTCCCTTCACCGTCTGATTCAGCAACTGTTTGTGTCTTGCGTCACGTTGGCTCGAGTGACACGGGGACGAAGGGAAGTCGGTTTACAGTCGGAGCAGCGTTTTATCAGAAATGGAGACGCTCCTCCTGGTTAATGATTCATGAGGAGCGTTGCAGAAGTGGGGCAGGAGAGCACACGTACGCATGTGGGAGGCCGTGCAGGCAAAGGCAGGTTCCTGCAAGCGTTCGTAAATCCTATCTGGAAGGCGAAACAGCTGCTGCAGCCACTTTGCATTCCAGCAAGTTTGTGTAAAGGAATGTCGAAGGCAAACAAGAGCCACTGGCCGGCTTCCTGCTGCTTCTACCATCCATCAGACCCGACTGTAAATCGTAGTTTTCCTGCACACGGATTGCGACACAAAGTGCTTTTTACCGCACAGAAGTAATTAAAAAAACAACAAGCACCACAATGTTGCTCCACCCAGTAAACAGCACGTTGGACCTGAATGACTCGCTCAGACGGGACGCGAGGACACGAGTTCCAGAAATAAATGTGATGAGGAAACAGTAGCAGGAAAAATACAAGACAGAAAGCGACTGATCGAAAGAATAACATCAGTTTAAAAAGCAGTCAAAATGTGAAATATGTCATTAGTGACTTAACAAACACATCAAATTCATAAAATAAATAAAATTTAAAAAGTCAGACTGAACAGGCAGATCCTGAGTTTGATGTTACCGCCGTCTCTCTGCTGACCTCTGACCTCCAGGAGGTTCTCCTCCAGACCATGAGTCCTTCCTCTCTGTGGGTTTTTAATCCGACTCCTCCGTCCTCCAGATGCCGCCCAGCTCTACCAGCAGTACAGCGAAGCGGCCCAGAACTTCGAGATCCTGCGCCAGGCCCGCTCGGACGTCCTCTCGGTGTGCGAGGACAACAACGCCTCGTCTCCGGCGCCATCGCCGCCTCCGGCCCGCCGGCCCCTGCCTCCCCTTCCTCCCGTCCCTCACCCTCACTCGCTGACCCACGCCGGTTCCGTCACCAGCACCCGGAGCCTGACGCTGCCGGAGCCGCCCAGGACCGAGCGCCGGTCGTCCTCCCCGCGGCTCTCCATCTCCCTCAGTGGCCAGTTCACCACCCTGTGGAGGGAGCTGCCGGGGGTCAGGAACAGCTCGGAGCTGGAGGAGCTGAGTGAGGACCAGAGGAGGCTGCAGGAGGTAAGACTGACCGAATGATGGAGAATATATAAAGACAGGAGGTAAAACTATAGAGAATATATATATATATGAAGAAGGAGGTACCACTGGTTTAATAGCAGAGAATCTACAGTGTTTAACTCATATGTTTCCATCCAGTGTCAGGTTTATGCCACAGCTGCCCTAAATTAACACCGTTGGTAATTACAAAATAAATAATAATAATAATACATTCTGTAATGGCTGATACACCAGTATATAAAAGCTCCTTAATATAAATTATATTTTTAATGCTAAAATGTAATTATTATTATTGTTATCCATGAATTTTCAAATGTACTTCTTTACAAAAAATAACCCACGAACAATAGCAAAGCACATTATTATTGTTTCTTGATTAACATGTCAGATTATTGTTCTTCACTTGCATTCCTGAACAGAAACATAATTAGTTTTAGTGGTTGAATGTGATGCTTGACTGATTTCTGACTCCTCAGAGAAGCCCAGCGAGCCGCTCAGATTCAACATCCATCTGTCGGATCCTGTATATAAAGGATTTTATGTAGACTGTCTCTGATTTCACTTCAGCTTTCTGGACTTTGGCTCATTTTACTGCAACATGAAGTCCTGCACCTCCATGGAAACAAGTAGAAATCATTTTAAAAAAAGACAAAAAGAAAGTTTCATTTCTTTTATTAGTTATTTTACAAAAAATGTAATACAGGGTCCACGGATGTTACACAAAACTGCACAAAATGAGAGAAAAGAAGAGATTCAGAGCAACGGAAAGGAGACAAACTGAGTCTGTGAACAAGTAAATAATTCAATATTTATAGTTTGTGGAGATGAAAGACACAAAAAAACCCCGAAAGAACAAGACGCGTGACGACACAAAACAATAGAAATGGTTAAATATCTGCTGTGTGCAGAGCCTCCATGTTCCTGTGTCGGCCTCCTTGTTGTGGTTTGTGTCTCTCTGGGACAGTTTTGTCTCCTTTCCTTGGTTTTCTGTTTCGTTTTTCTTGTCTTGTGTTGCTTTGCGTCTCGTTATTTTCCATTTCGTGTCTCGCTTTCGTTGTTGTGGCGTCTTGTGTTCCTTTGTGGTCGTTGTGTCTCCACATATCAGAGCTGTTTAACCACTTGTGTCGTCTCTGCTGTGTGGAACCAGTTCATCCGTCATCCAAACGTTCAGATCAGACGTCTAGAATAAAGTGATTTAAAACTCAGATTTGGTTAATTTTTAAAGACAGAACTGTGTATCTCAGATAATTCGTTCAAAGACTCTCAGAGAGTTAATTCTTTGATAAATGACGTCAATTTGGCAATTACTTAAATAGAACGTGCTTTTCAGGTTCAGACCAGAGACTGTATAAAAGATGGACGTAGCTACCGTGACGTCACCCGTTGGTTTCTGCACTGAGAACATGAAGCCAGGGTTTTGCTACTTCCTGGTTGACATCTTGGATTTTTGCAAAAATCGTAGGAGGGGGGCGGAGCCATAGGAGCAGTGATTGGTCAGACGGATTGAGAGGCGGGCCCTCTCTGCCCCGCCCACATTTATCACCTTCTGCTCGCTTCGTCTGCATCGTCGCTGCCGACTGTCAATCAAGCCAGCCACGCCCCTTGCCCCACAAAATGTTGATGATTTTTTTAAAATTCAGTATTGATTTATTCTCAGATTGGCCACCTGATCTCTGGACTTGACCATGAAAACTAATAAGAACAAAATCCTGAGCTGGAGGAATGCAGTATTTGGTGATCTGTGATCACTTCTTTTCCAGTTCCAGTCTATGGGAGCCAGGGCTTTGTGGAGCCAGCAGCTAGTGGACGTAGTGATATTGCAGGTTTCCGGGTTGCCTTCATTTTTCAGGGCCGGTTGCTACGTCCATCTTTTATACAGTCTGTGGTTCAGAGGGTTGAAACTGTGGCTCTTGTCCTGACCCGGTAGGAACCTGCTTTCTTTGTGTTTAGAAAAAACCCAGAATCAGTGTGAACGTCTGAACGTCCATCTCTGGAAAGTTACTGGAACAAAACTTCATGAAATTGAGGAAAACTCTTGGAGAGAATCTTTGCTGCTGCTTTACGTGATCGGTTGTTTTTAATTGCAGCTGTTTGTATAAATTATAGACCTGGCTGTTGTTCCGGTGATTCACGTCTCCTCCTACGAGCCACCGGACTTGTTCTGGGTGTCATTTCACATCAGCAGCTCCTCTGCTGTTCCATTTAGAGCTGATTTGTGGGAAACGCACATGAATCAGCTTTCAGTTCTTATTTCTTCACACTTCAGACTTCTCGAATCGCACCAAACATTCAGACTTGCCACATCCTAGAAAACCCTCCCAGAACTTTTTATTAGCAGCAGCAGAGCGTCTCCTGGTTGCGTAAGCGTGTGTGTTTGGTGTAAACGCTGAGGCGCTGTGAGTGGGAGCTCCTGCACTGATTGTGAAATCCTGCTTTGTGGAAATAACCCAGAGCTGACGGCACCATCAGCTCTGATTACCTGTCTGATAGCTCCTCGCTCATGTTTTGTTGTTCTTGCTCCCCAGGTGAGATTCGAAGTGGTGACCTCAGAGGCTTCGTACTGCCGCAGCCTGGACATCGTCGTGGAGCACTTTGTGAAGTCCAAGCAGCTGGGCGCCAAGCTGACCACGCAGGACCGGAACTGGCTATTCTCCAGGCTGGCCGACGTCCGGGCCATCAGCCACAGGTCGGAGATGTTCGGAGTCATTCAGAGCAACGTGGGTCAGATACAGCAGCAGTGAATGAGAGAGCAGCATCATAGTGTCATCTCACAGTAATCAGATTACTCCTAACAGCAGAGTATCTGGTGTCGGATTACAAACTACCACTTTAGATTCACGACGTTAAAGTTCAGGCTCCACAGCAGGAACTCAGTAAAGTCCTTTCATCCCTGAGGTTCTTTGGTTCCTTTATTTCTACTGACAGACTGGATCCAGAGTCCACTAGGTTCTGCTCACATGTTCTCACAGAGGAGACCAGAGTCCACTAGGTTCTGCTCACATGTTCTCATGGAGGAGACCAGAGTCCACTAGGTTCTGCTCACATGTTCTCATGGAGGAGACC